GTTAGAAAAAATCAAGAAGAATTTAGAATAGAACAGACAAACAATATGACATTAAGCATAAGAGCAGTTGTGTTGATGTTGAATGCATAAAATTTGTTTACTGTCTGATTAATCCATGATGATAGATGCAGACTATCTATCTATCTCGTGAAGAGGCTCTCAAAATTATCATATCAAATGATTGGAGACTTTGAGTGGCATGTCTTAGAATCGGTCGCACTGGTGCAAGATATATTCACTATCTGTGTTTCACTGGATCTTCAGTTCCAAAACTATCCTAAACGTGATTCATAAATTTATCTTATCTATAAGTAATCGTTTCCACCGTGACTATCATTGCGTCATTAATGATGACTGTTTCCACCGTTGACGTGACTAGACTTACCCAGTCAGAATTTATCACTTTGGAACTCTAATTGTGGTGCGAGCTACTTATAAGTAGTATATGACGTGAGTGTCAACGTAATGTCTGGCAGCAGAAGATGGGGGAAGATCAAGAAAGGAACAGTTATAACACAATGGAATTTGTATGAATCGCATGAATAGTGACAATGGATTGATGTTGTTTGCAACAGGAACAGTCCAGTTCGATATGATGAACTGATATTTTGCAAATTAACGATTTACGATATGGTTTTCCGATTTTACTTGAGTAACTCTGTAATTTCCGTTAAATACAATCCGGTTGCCCCACTGGTGTTCTCGTTCACTACATAAGAAGTCAGCGCTTAAGGTTTTCTATTAGGGATTTTGTGAAAAATCACTTATTTTCTAGATGGTATTCGTCACAAATTGATATCAGAGTATAGTCATTTGGATACAATCACAAACAGTATGGCCTAATTATTGCGTAAAGAAATGTTTACTAAGTTATTATTAAAAATTGGACAGTAATATATCTATCTGTCCGCTACACTGAATCGCTAATGTGATTCACTAAAACAAGTTGCTATTATCTTTCCCATAGGCTCATACTTTTTTAAGCAATGATTATAATACAATCTTTGTTGAATATACTTATACTCTTATCAGCTTATTCTTAGCACAATAAACTGCTAATAATCTTATTCTCTCTTTTGCCTAACTTGTTTATCACAGTGGCTTTATTTGTTTGTAGTTCAGAATTTCTGTTAAGTAAATTCAAATGAATTACGGTTTTGTTCAGAATATTCAAAATGAAATTTATTTCAATCAGCTAGCTAGACTAGACATGTAATAAGCGAGTAAGCTATCCGCGCATACATACAAAAAAAAATAAATATTCAGTCATTGATGCTGTTATCGAATTATTAACAAATACAAAATTATGGTCGATACAATTATCGAATAATTTAAACGGCAAGTCATTAAAGTACAATGAATGAATGGTGAGATGCTAGAAAGTATTAGCAGTATTGGAGAAGATTAGTATTCAAAGATATGATTCGAGAAGTATAATTCAGTTAGATGACTGTAGAAAGAGAAAGATAGAGGTGATGACGAATCCAGAAGATTAGGATTTGAGAGAACAGAATGAGTGAATACACCTTCGCCGTGTCATTCAACGTCTCCAAACATCGGTGATTTCCGTCTCGTGGACCTCATCTGGGCAGTCGACGACACCTACCAACATAGCTCAGTCCACATGTCAGTAACTTCATGGATTTGTGCCATGTTTTGGTTTGGCCGCCCCTAGCTTTCTTCCAACCTACTCCTACACCACAAAACACAGCTCGTCGCGGCAGTCGGTCGTTGGGCATACGTAACACATATCCCAACCACCTCAACTGATGAAGTTTCATCACTTCATCTATTGATCTGCCATGGTGGAGAAAACTTGTAGCTCAGATAGATGATTGTGGTGGTGTTTCGTTCTCTGAGTTGGTTGTTTTGGTTGTGGAGCTTTCATTGTTCTTCTGAACAACATCATCAGCACAAACTTCAGATAGAAGTCGATCTGCCATTCCTACCTAGAACTCGTTTCCTAACGACAGCATTGCTTACTCGTTGGTCTCAGGATATACGAGTATGCTTCAAAGACATCTATAATCAAATACTAGGAAACTACGAATATCCTCTACTCTTAGTGGTTATGTTTCACACCATTTTAATATGACGAAGCAAACTGCTGCACGGTACACTCGTCCTTTGGTTAGCAAACGGATATCTCGCCCACTCCATAAGTGACGCAGGTTGGCAAAAGCCAATCGAGCCTTCTGTATCCGTGCTGAGATTTCGTCGGTCACTAGGCCATCGGCACTGATGAGACTCCCAAGATAAGTGAAGCAATCAAAACGCTCATCTCCTTCACACCCTATCACTAGTTCAGGTGCAGATGCAACCCAGTCTTGAAGTAACATTTTGCATTTCGAGGGGGAGGACCGCATCCCGAACATGCTCGCATTGTTGCTTATGGTAGTCAGAAAACTCTGCATTTTGTCAGCGTCTTCACCGAATAGAACTATGTCATCGGCATATTCTAGATCAGTAAGCGACTTTCCTGGTAGAAGGTCAACCCCTGGAAAATCTGACGAGCTTTATGTTAAATCTAAGATGATGTCTACGACAAAGTTAAACAAGAATGGAGAGAGTAGACATCCCTGACGGACACCACTTGAAGTAAAGAATTCCGATGACAGTTCGCCATAAGCTCTTACTTGACCAGTGTTGTTCGAGTAGAGAGCCTGTATAAGGTTAATGTACTTCTTTGGTACATCTTTTAATGACAGACACTGTAACGGAACCTCACAATCGACAGAGTCAAATGTCGCCTTACGGTCAAGAAATACAACTACGTGGGCGTCTGAGCGAGTGTCTATGTTATAGGACCTGACGTACTGTGAAGATGTGGTCTATACATCCACGTCCAGGTCGAAAACCAGCCTGGCTTTCTCGAGTCTGCTCTTCACGAGCTTTCGTTAAGCGTCGAAGTATTATTGAGGACAATATTCTAGATACGATATTAGTTAGACTTATTCCCCTGTGATTGTCACAAGAAGACTTTTGTCCTTTCTTATAGATTGGGACAATCAGTGATTGAGACCAGTTGCATGGGATCGTGTCCAGTTCCCATATTCTACCTAAGATTTCAGTCAATCTAGCTGCTAAAGCTGGACCACCATACTTAAAAATCTTATGAGTTAGCCTATTAGGACCTGCTGCTCTGCCCCGCTTTAGATTTCCTATAGCCTTTTCAACTTCATTAAGACTAGGGGGACTTACGTCGACTTGCCATTCAGGAAGACTGGAGATCGTGGGTAACCGAAGAGTGGCTGAAGGCCAGTTGAACTGATCCCTAAAGTGTTCTGCCCATCGATCCAATCTCCTTGATTGTGAATGAATGATATAACCATCCTTCCATGAGAGTTTCACTAACAGATGGATTTCTAATACCGGTTTCCTTGATAAGTCGGAACAACTGTCTACTGTTACCCATCGCCGCTGCCTTTTCCATCCCTCTCACTTTCGCTACCCACCACTGTTCGCGATCATTGCGTAGGCTTTTTATCAATCTACGCTTAAGTTGACTTCGCTCTTCATCATGTTCAAAGCCAGGTGTGGTGAGTTTACAGGCGCCTATCAGCTAACGAAGCCCGTTGTCCAGTTTGAAACAACGTCCTTACAGTAAATGCTCCAACATGTAGTCCAGAACTGGGTTTCAGGAGAGCAGGAATGACGTTTCGTGAACTCAAATCGTTTGCATTAAAGGTGCAGGGTGATGAAGGAAAAAGATAAAAGAGATGTTAGGGGGTGTAGGAAGGATTTGATTGTAACAAATGTGGCCTCGCGTGTTGTTACGTGTATGAGGGCAGATGTCACTTTCCGGCTGCTCACACCGTCTCAGAGTATTTCTTAAGGAACCTGACAAGGGAGGCAGAATAATGTTTGTATTAGAGACCTGAGAGCGTGACCTCAGAATACAAGGACAACCGATTGACGCCGGTCACGCACGGTCTTTTTATGAGAAGTTTTTAGCGTATTAACTCCGCTCTTGGTGAAAAGGTCTTACCGCCGGAGACGGAAATTCATGAGAGGTCAGGTGAGAAGTGACATTTTTAGGATCGGCCTTTTCTAACCCCTTCCTTCCTTATGAGAAGGCAGCATCACTGCAAATGCTGGTTGTCCGAAAGAAATACCTTACTGCTGTCAGTCAAACTCCTCTACAGTCTGCAGTACGACTTTGCCCTCAAACCTTAAGTTACTTACTGCTTTTTTGTCTCATCGTTCTCCAATCCACTTGCCTGACTAGCGCATGACAGAACTCACTTACAGGAACACATATATATATATATACCAGCCAATAAAACTCGTTTGTATCATCACAAAACACAAATCCATTTATAATTAATTTATTTTTAAGGCAACATATTAATTATTTCGGAAGAAGAAAGTTAATTCTCTTTCTTACATGAGAAGCAAACAAACACTAAAACAAACAAAATTCACAAAGAATACAATGAAAAAAAAAATGCCAAAACATAAACAGGAAGAAAGATGAAACTGCCGTTAGTTGATTGTTGTCAAATACAGAGAGAGTTAGTTTTACACAAAAATGCATCGGTTTGTTTAATATATATTTGTTTATCTAGCTAGTTAGTTTATTCTTTCTACAATTTTAACACAATAATAAACCGGTTTACAAATATAGTTCAAACAAAAACAGAAAAAAATTAAAAATAAATAAAATACTAATTCCAAATAAAAAGAGAAATATGTATATAGATAGATAATATTAAGTAAATCATAGAGAGAAACTCTCTTCTAGAGAGAGAGAAAGAGAACAAAAGGCTACAAAGCTCTAACTAGCAAGCTTAACTAGCTAGCTAGCTAGGCTTCATTTCATAATCATTATTGCACACATGTAGACAACTATATATGACACTTGTGTGTATCATTAAAATATAAGAGACCTAACTATTCACAGTCAGTCAGTCAGTCAGTCAATAATAAAATGCATGTTTTCAATCATCAAACAGGACAAGGAATAACACATAGCATAATGATGATGATGATTAGGATGGTTAGGAAAATGCAGTACACTTGAAAACAATTGAAAGCTTCCAAGTGGACATCCCCATATGAGATTGGTCGGCAATAATAATAATAATAGTAGTAGTAGCAGTAGTAGTAGTAGTGTGAGTAGTAGTAGTAGTAGTAGTAGTAGTAGTAGTAGTAGTAGTAGTAGCAGTAGTAATAGTAGTAGTAATGGCAGTGTAAGGCATGTCAATAAATTCTACAAATTAGTAGACAATGCGTCCAGAAAAAAATAAAAGACGATACTTGTTGAAAAAAAAAACAAACATTGGTATACTACTATAAAAGGAAAAAATGTAGCTTTCGAATCAATCAACATGGTGCATTCTCACTCAATAAATATAATAATCAATTGTTCGGTTAGAAGAAAAACAGAAAATGATCAATAATAATAATCATAATAATAAGTAGAAAGTGAGAAAATCTATATTTCGAAATAAGTAGTAATAGTAGTAGTAAGTAGTAGTATTTGGAGTTTAATTTTTTCTCTTTCTACTGTATTTTTTCTTGTTTTTTTCAAGCTCTGTCTGTTTTACTCTGCTAAAAAGTGTAATTTTTTGTTTTATAGGAGAGATTTTTGCACCGATGATGATGACGACGAAAATAGTGTTGTACTGAAGGCAACTTTAGTAATTTGACTATTTCTTCTAATGAATGAATGAATGAAGACAGACACAGATAGATAGATAGATAGATAGACAGATAGATCATTCATTGTAGGCGAAAATAATGAAAAACACCAACCGGGATATCAATTAATAAGTAGCAGTTACTACATATGCATATATAATAATAACAATAATAATAGTAGGAAGAATTAGAATCATCATGTACAAAACACACACATACACACACACAACAAATAAACAACATTCTAGAAAAGAAAAGAAAAACAAAAGAAGAATAACAACAATTCACCAGATTGTTTTAATGTAGTGAATCACTTGCACTTGACAATGGCGATGAATTTGTTGGTGAGAAACCAGTTGAAGAGGAAGATGATGATGATGATGAAGACGACGATGAAGATGAAGAGGATGAAGGGGAGGAGGAGGAATAGTATGCTGTAGAATCTGAATACAAGTCTGATTTATTCTTCTTGTTCTTCTTTGTAAAAACTAAAGACCTATTATTATTACTATGCTGATAATATTGGTCATTACTCACATGACTTTGTAATGTGAGTAATAAAGGCAAATAAATGGTATTCTGTAAATGTTTCTCATTCTCATCATCATTATTATAATTCACATTTTTTTTGCCGGATAATTTCATTGATCTGCATGCATATTGTTCTTCAGTTAGACTAACATGTCTACTACTAACATTTCTACTACTTATATCTTTATAATTAGTAGTAAATTTCAAATTACTATCAGTATTGGTTAAATGCATTAAAGAGATTGTTGAAGAAGACAACAGCGCTGCTGATGATGATGGTGATGATGTTGGTCGTGGTGGCGGTGATGAGAGCAGTAGTGTTTGTTGTGAATATGACACATAAGGACAACATAGTGGCTTTTTTCCAATCTTCACATCACTCTCAACAATAGCATCAGTAAACAACGCTCTCCTACAACATGGACTAGATGAAATTTTCAATGAATCAGAAGATAATTTATGTTTATTAGTATAAGAAGGACAATAGAACGTGTTTGATGATTGTTGTTGGTGTTGTGGTTGCAGACATTGATCATGTGATCGATCCAGATCATTTGATTTATGATTTCTTTTCACTGTTTGATCATTGATAACAGAAGAAGAAGGAAGTAATAAATTATTGTTTAATTGATAATTAGAATCAAAATAAATATCACGAGTGAATTGATTTTTGGCAAATTGTTGTTGTTCACGAAGCGATAGATTACTGAAATTAGTAATATAAGTAGTATTGTTATTATTATGATTATGATTATTCCTAGATGAAGAAGGCATACACTGGGCGCATACATTCTGTTGTTTCATAATAATACATGTAGGAAAATATGAATCATTTTTACAATGATGATAAGATGGTTTCAGTGATTTTAAAAGATTTCTACATTGCTTACAAGAAGTAGAGGAGGACGAGGAGGAGGATATGAGACAGTGAGTGTTGTTGTTGTTGTTATTCGGTAATTTCTCATGATTAGTGCAAAATAATTTATTGTTTGAAGAGGATGATTTATGAGTTTTTGGAATTGCCGGCAAAGTTACCTAAAAAAAAAAGGATAATAAAAATTTGAAAGGAAAAAAAGAAAACTTAGTCATTTATTATTTAAAAAAAAATGTCGTGTTTACCGGTTGACAATACCTCCATTGAACTAGAAGATGGCAATAAATTTGCAAAACTTAATAATACTTACTTACTTACTTACGCCTGTTACGCGCAATGGAGCATAGGCCGCCGAACAGTGTTTACTCTGTACTGGGCTTTCCTTTCTAGTTCTGTTCGATTTTTATTCATTCTTCGCATGTCTTTCTCCGTTTCTCGGTGTTGTAACGTGTTCCTTGGTCTTTTTTTTCCTTTTACCTTGAGGATTCCATGTGAGAGCTTATCTTGTGACGCAGTTGGGTGCTTTCCGTAGTGTGTGTATTATCCACTTCCACCGCTTATTCTTGATTTCATCCTTCAATGGAATCTGGTTTGTTCTTTTCTACGGTGCGGATACAAAAGGCTCGATTGGCTTTTGCTAACTTGCGTCACTTATGCCTTGATGCGAGATATACACCTCTTAACCAGAGGACGAGTCTATATAGCAGAGCAGTTCTCTCCTTCCTACTTTATGTCTCTGAAACATGGCCAGTCAGAGTAGAAAATATTCGTAGTTTACTGGTTTTCGATCATAGGTGGTATCTTCAAAGCATTGTTCGGATATCCTGAGACAATTGAGTAAGTAATGCAATTATTGTTAAAAAAAGAATACTGGGTCAGGATGGCAAATCAGTTATTTGATGAAGTCACTGACAACTGGATTGAATCATTTTGATAAGTGTAGACTACTTCGTTGTGGTCTGCATGATACAATGGTAATCGATGGTTAGAGGCCTTGAATGACATGTCTCAAAATCGTGTGCAACGACGCCATAGGTGCATCCATTCTTTGTATTCCGCCAAATCCTACTTTAAAATCCTCATTACCTTCATCTTTTTTTATCTCATATCTAGTTCACTGTATATACTACTTAAATAATATCAGCGGATCATGATCATTTCAATTACTGCTCATAAATACTTCTACTATCTCTACTACTACTATGGGATTTGAATCGACAATTTCATCTCTGTACTAGCATGGTATGTATGGCAACTTGAACTGATGTATGTACGTACGTACGAAGTCCTCCTACGTTGTAACTGATTGATTGACTGTCATTGAATGTCATTTTTGAACATTAATTTAATGCGGAAATACTTGACTGAATTGAACAGTGTGCATTAATAATATATGTATCTAAATTGAAATCAATACAGGTCAGACTGCTTTTTAACTAACAACTATAATAGTAGTAGTTAAATTATGAAATTCCATACTTTATTCGTTCGTTCCTATAATAACAGAGAGCATCAATGAAAACTATGTAATTAAATTATGTATGCATAGCTCACTCAGAGAATAAAACATTGCTCGTATATCGTGGGACAGCCGAGTAAGCAATGCTGTCGTTAGGAAACGAGTACTAGGTAAGAATGGCAGATCAATAGATGAAGTGGTGAAGCTTCATCAGTTGAGGTGGTTGGGACATGTGTTACGAATGCCCGTCCACCGACTGCCTCGACGAGCTATGTTTTGTGGTGTAGGAGTAGGTTGGAAGAAAGCTAGGGGCGGCCAGACCAAAACATGGCACAAATCCATGAAGTCACTGACAAGTGGACTGAGTCATGTTGGTAGATGTAGACTACCTGGTTGGGGTCCGCGAGACGAAAGTCATCAATGGTTAGAGACCTTGAACGATATGGCTCAAAATCGTTTGCAATGGCGCAGGTGCATCCACTCTTTGAGCTCTCTCAAATCCTAATCTTCTGGATTAGCCAGCACCTCTACCTTTGTCTTTCTAACCTTATCTCACTGAATTATATTTTTTGAATAATATCTTCAAACCCTAGTCTTCTTTATTATAACATTAATACCTCTACCATCTTTATCACTATGGGATTTGATTTGACATTTGCGTCTCTGTGCTAATAATGTGGTATGGCAACATGAACTTATGTACATACGTACGAAGTTCTACGTTGCAACTGACTGACTGACTGACTGATAAAACATTATCAAGATTGTTTACATGCAAAGTGAAATTCTTTGTCACTATATTTCAATATTCACAAATTTCTGTATTTGTAAATAACAATTAGAAGAATTTTTATGTATCATGAATAAGAAGTGGAAAGAGAAGCACTAATTTATATATATATATGGAACGGAAACTTGGAGAACCATGAAAGTCATCATCCAGAAGATACAAGTGTTTATTAAAAGTTTTGTCCACGCAGAATACTTCGGATCTGCTGGCCAGACACTGTCAACAACAACCTACGGTAGGAGAGAACAAACCAAAGGACAGTGGAGGAAGAAATCCAGAAGAAGCGCTGGAAGTGGATACGATACACATTTACAGATGTCACCCAATTGCGTCACAAGGCAAGCTTCAACTTGGAATCCTCAAGACCAAAAAACACATTAAGCTGAGAAATGGTGACAGACACAAGAATGAAAAGCAGTTGGAGAAAACTAGATAGGAAGGCCCAGGACAGAGTAGTCTGGAGAATGCTGGTTGGCGGCCTATGCTCCACTAGGGACAATAGGCGTAAACAATATACATACATATATATATATATATATATATATATATATATATATCAGTCAGTCGGTCAGTTGCAACGTAGAACTTCGTACGTAAGTACATCAGTTCATGTCGCCATAACACGTTGGCACAGAGATGTAATTGTCAATTCAAATCCAATAGTAGAAGAGGTATTAGCAGTAATCGGGGTTAGGATTAGAAGATATTATTCAACAAGTATGATTCAGTGAGAAAAGTTTAGAAAGTCAAAACTAGAGGTGTTGAAGAATCCAGAAGATTAGGATTTGAGAGAACACAGAGAATAAATGCACCGGCACCATTGCAAACGGTTTTGAGCCATGTCATTCAAGGTCTCTAACCATCGATTACTATCATCTCGCGGACCCCAACCAAGGTAGTCGACAACTACCGACATGACTCAGTCCACTTGTCAATGACTTCATGGATTTCTGCCATGTTTTGGTTTGGCCGCCCCTAGCTTTCTTCCAACCTATTCCTACATCGCAAAACATAGCTCGACGAGGCAGTCGGTGGTTAGGCATAAGCAGTACATGTCCAAACCACCTCAACTAATGAAGTTTCATTACTTCATCTATTGATTTGCTATTCTTACCTAGCACGCGCCTCCTAATAACAGAGTTGCTCACTCGGGTGTCCCAGGATATACCAGCAATACTTCGAAGACACCTATGATCAAAAACCTGTAACCTACGAACATCTTCTACTCTTACCGGCCATGTTTCACCACCATATAGGAGAACGGTGCGAACAACTGCACAGTACACTCGTCCTTTAGTCAACAAACGGATATCTAGCCTTTGCCATAAGTGACGCAGATTGGCAAAAGCTAGTCGAGCTTTCTGTATCCGTGCTGAGATTTCGTCAGTCACCAGGCGACTGGTGAATTTTCCCATTGATATTTAGGACTGCAATTTATCCGTCTCTGGCAATATGTACATACCCTGCAGATCTCTCCTCGACACAACCTTTAGATTACAGGCTTTCGTTTTTAAAGAAGTGAGATATATAAATATATACACGAATATTTGTATACATTATTCAATAGCTAAATAGACCTTCTCTTCTGTTCTTAACTTCTCATTCTCAGTTTGGTCGTTGGAGCGGAATTCACAGTTCATTCACAAATTCAATAATTTATGTGGTACACATAAATGTTTGATGTTCCCTCTATTACCAATGTTTATGTATTTTTGAATAAATTTGTTACGCTCGTTACTTAATCGATAAACGAGAAAGAGATTTTTACCAGCGTCCAGATAGTGTACCTTGAATCCCAAGCTGTAAACAGAAGGCTTGGTAAGCATAGAAAGTATATTCTACAAACACCCAGCAATCACACAACACAATCAAGTACACAACTCTCGTTTATTTATACATCATAGAAACGTCCTTGGGACAGTTAAGAAAATAGCACACTAAAATACACAGCAGCCAATCACAGCCATGGATTTTCCTGGTGGGAATTGAAATCTCAAGGTCAACTGATCAGCCCATGCTGGCAAACGTGAAAACCGAAATAAGGCATTTATCAAGCGAATTTTGGGGATCTAAAATCTCCAACAGGTTGAGCTGTACAATCAGTAAGTCTCAGGTTCGGACCGCAAGCTACTTCATTTTTCTACACCGGATAGTATCGGTAATCCTTACACACATAGAGTGTGACTCGAAACCAAGCATATGAATCTGTGTACTTGATAAGTAAGTCACGATTAAAATACACTACTACATGGAAGGTCTATCAATACTATTCAGCTAATCCTTAAAATGAAGTATGTATTTAAGAGTGCTAAATATGTGAAATACTATTGTGGTGCGCGCTACTTATAAGTAGTATATGACGTGAGTGTCAGTCAACGTAATGTCTGGCAGCAGAAGATGAGGGAAGATCAAGAAAGGAAGAGTGGGAACACAATGGAATTTGTATGAAACACATGAACAGTGAAATGTCAGACAATGGATTGATGATGGATTGATGCTTTGCAAATTAACGATTTACGATTTAGTTTTCCTATTTTACTGAGTAACTCTGTAATTTTCGTTAAATACAATTCGGTTGCCCTCACCTGTGTTCTCCTTCACTACACTACTGTTTGAGAGCCAACTGTTTTGAGTACTGGTTTCCCGTTCTGTGTGTGATAAAGATTATCTCGTTCAACTCAGATGTTCAATGTCATTTCGAAATCTCTCAAACATCGATATTTTTAAAAAGACATACGAATCCATCCAGTTGATCTTAATTTAAATTGTATTCATAATGAGCTTGACTTTACATCAACACTGGTTAATTGCACAAAAATACCTACATCATTTTCAGTGTAATTATATTATCAGTTCAATAATCAACTAATTCTTCGTTCATTGTTTTTCTTTCCTATTTTGTTTTGTTTTAT